GCTAATATATAGCAAAATAATTAAATCTTAAATAGCTATTTATTTCCTATTCATAGAGAGCTGTGAGAATTGAGAACGGGTAAATTTATTTATTTAACTGGTCAAAATTTCCCGGCATGAGATAATTTTAAATTTTTCATGAGTTCATTGAAATTATATTTACAAAAATATTTATAGTCTCTGTGGAGGTAGGTATTTTGTCATTTTGACAAAACACCATTTTTGACAATTAAAACACCACCGAAAATTCTCACGATGAGCGCGGTTTGACAGGCTGGTGCCTAGTTTTCCTACAATACGCGCAAAGCTTCCTGGGATAGCGTCACAATTAACACCGCCATATTTTTTAATTTTTTGTTTTATAAAATTTTCCGCTCGAAATACAGAACTTTTATTTGGTGAAGTTGATATGTATTAAAGATTAAACTCAGGGATGACTGGGTAACATCCAGGTAAGAAATTTGTTATGGTTTATATATAAATAGAGCAATTGTGAAAGGAAATATTTATACTATCTTTATTCGTGAATTTTGAGCATGTGTTGCGGTGTCCCAGGATTTTCGCCCCCCCCCCACAATTTCGCCTCCGGGGGGCAAAATTCCTAGGAATATCCCCCGCCCGGGGGGGGGGGGAATCCTAGGAATTTCGCCCCCCTTTAGAAACTTCACCTTTTCTTTAGGATTGTCGTCCTCCGTTCAAAATTTCGCCCTTCCTAACAGTTGGATGGGATAATTATTACATGGCTTTAATAATTTGAAATCAGTATCAATTCAAAATTGTTAAGACAGAGCTTGAAATAACAACCGATCACCGATCAATGATCGGCATGGAATTGCTTATGATCGGCGGAAAAGCAGGGTTTCGGTTTCCAACCAGAAAAAAAGCAGGGAAAGTCATGACTGCCGTTTATGCATATTACACTAAGTACACATTTCTGTCATTTCCAACATATCTCCTTGGCTTGAACTAAATGCGAAGTTCCTGTAAAATGCAATGAAATTTCTTTGAAGTTTCTGTTTGTTTGAATTGGCGGTTTAAAATGGCACTAAAACCCCAATATAAAATATAAAATACCTTAACTGTCTTAACATATTTTGTCGGGCGGTACATTTATATTGTATAACAAAATATAAAAAAAATTAACATGGCTCAGTCTTAAAATACAGTTGGGTGGTGATGATAATCCAGCAAGTTATTTTATGTGGCCTAATAAGGAACCTCTGATGCTTGATACTTACACATTTTAATTTACAGAATATTTTCAGTTATTTGTCTTCTCATCTGGTATAGGTACTATATCACAATAGTGCCACCACAACTTGTCAGCCTCAACTGCCTTATTCAACCATGATTTATTTGTTTTACTCTTTTGGTGTTAGCAACCATTGGCCACTAAACCTTCCTCACTGACCCCACCTATGGTAAACCTTCCTCGCGGGCAATGCCCGCGTGCCCGCTGCATGCTTTTTTGCAACTCTGATATACGTTTCAAAAAAGACAAAAAAGCTTTTAGTTTTGCAGAGTTACATTCTCAAATGTTTAAGGCACTATAAATCATCTCATATAGAGTTACATTCTCAAATGTTTATGGCACTATAAATAATTTCATATAATCTCGACTTTACTGCGGGCGCTTCGCGCCCTTGGAAAATCTTCAATTATATTTCAAACACAGAAGTTCGATATAGCAATGCTTGTTCAAAGCTATAAACCAAAACCATATTACCACAACCCTCGTCCGAAATGTACTATGTTGGAAGAGACAAGACCGTCCTAGCATAAACTCCATCGAAAGCTGGACGATAGTAAAAGCGAGTAGAAGGTAGAAGTCCCCGACCAGTCAGCCATTTTGATTACTTCTTCCAGAGGTACCCCTCCAGCCCTTGCCTTGGATGTCGACGCCGAACGAGTTGAATGGCCTTTAAATACTTCGGTATCTATTCCCGCGCTACCTAGGATGGACCGAATATAACGGGCAATAGAACACGATTTAACAGGGCGATGGGGTCCATGGAAACTAATCAAGAGCTGGTTATGAGTGGTAGGACCCATGACTGGTCTAAATAAGGTAGTGCGCTAAATATAACACTGTAAACAGCGGAGCACAGAGAGGTTTTCACATTCCACATACTTGGTAAAGAACACTGACGTCACAACCGAAGTTTTTTTGTCAGCCCGGGTAATTTGAACTCGACACCTTCAGGCAAGATGCGCATATAGCGCAGGTCGAGAGGTTTAAGCTTGGAAAAGCGCTGAGGGGCGGTCAGGGCAAGCAAAATAGCTAACTTTTGCGTAAGCAATTTCGACGACAAATCCTCGTTCCGAGGGAGTGAGCGCAAATAGATCAAGACAACGTCCATGCTCCAAGTTCGCTGATAGCGCGGCAAAGCTGGTCGTAGGTTAAGAACACCCTTGCGCAAGCGAATAGTGAGTGGGTGTTGTCCCACGGGAAAGCCGTCAATTGGCGGAAGGACGCCCGACAAAGCGGAGTGATATGTATTTGTCCTGTATTCCAAATCTGCATCGAACGAATGAGCAAGGAAGAAAGTTATATTGGCCAAAGAGAGGCGAAATGAATTAGTTTCCCGCCCGAGACACCACACCATGATCAGCTATGTCATTTAGGCAGGGAAAATGGCCTGTACGGAGGCGGTCATCCTCCCAATTAGCTGAGATAGTTCCCTGATTGACACCTCGTGACGTGCTATCAGGTTGTTGCAGTCGGCTTTTATCGCTTCCACCTTGTAATTGGGCAGGTGCAGAGTCATATCCCGAGTGTTTACTAGAAACCCTAGAAACTCTAATGTCTGAGTTGGTGTGAAACACGACTTCTCTAAATTTATCACAAAACCTAAATTCTCTAGGAGGTACTGTGCCGTACGTAGCCATATCTAGTTGTAGGCCTTCCTTGGATTGACTCATTAACAAAAATCGTCCAGATATATAATCAGGTGTATCCCGGCTCGGCGAAGAAGAGCAACGACTAGTTTCATCACCTTTGTGCACAGTCGTGGGACAGCTGAATTCTGGTCTTACTAGTCAAATTCCATAAATTCAAAACAACAAAAATGGCGGGCTTGGCAGCTGGAAATACTGATACTTCATATGCCTTTTTTGAAAATGAAATCATTCTTGGTGACCCTAGTTCTTCTAAGAACTCTTGTACGGGTGGTCAAGGTGATGTTCAAACAGAAATGGGAGCCTCTGGAAAGGATGTATGCCGTAGTGAGTCCGCTGAAGTTCGGCCGATATCGCGATTGTTAAAGATGATGTCCACTCCTGTGTACATGCGCGAACTTTGTTTACGTTTTGAACTGCTATATTTGTAAAATATGATATACTATATAACTGAATATCTAACACTTGTCTGGTTCGCTGTACTTGTAAATGAATATAAACTATACCGTTCAATTCAAAAAAGTTCGAAAGATGCAAAATTTGAGCAATGTTTATATCTAGGGGTCCCCCATTGTTATGAGCAGAACTGGTGCGCAGAACGGAGTGGACATCATCTTTAATATGTTCAGACTAGACAAAGTTAATTTAGACGACGATTCAGCAGGTTTTCCGCACAGCGAAACCAAAGGTTGGACAAAATTATTGCAAGATATTCCTCCGTTTACCCACCGAAAATTAGAAAATAAAATGGTAAATAACAGCCGCACAATATTAATGCCTGACAAAGTAGCGCCAAAGGCTCATGGGAACATGAAGAAAGGATACGGTCTTTGGAAAGGTTATGTCAATAATGTTCAAGTCAAATGGCAAACATCCAATGTAAAATTCAACTATTTCTGGTGAAAGCTCGAGTTAGTGCGTCCATGAAGAGTGTAAGTTACCCTGTTTATGTTCATTTAGACCAGAAGAGTGGCGAAGTCGAGTATGCAAAGTGCGCTTGTAAAGCAGGGCAAGGTGAGATTTTGTTAACTTAAGTTTAAGTATAATTCCTGAAGGCCTTACGTGTACACAAGTCGCTCAAAAGTGGAGTATTCCTTCTGGCTGCCGTAAAACATTGAACAAAGCTGTTAAGTTTGACGAGCTGTTGTTTCAGAAAGCACAATACAGCAAGACCAATAAAAGGCTGCATTCAAGTACTATCAAAGAGAAGTATTGTAGCACACCACCTTATGCCCAGACTGTCACCAAAGACGATATACAATCAATTGTACTTAGGATGTACTTAGGAAATGTACTTGCGAATGTACTTAGGGAAGCTGCTTTGTGACACACTTGAATCAAACAATTATGAGCCATGTGATATGTTTGAAACATCTTGTGCCAAGGCTAAGAGGACATAGTCTTAAGTTGAATCTAGAAACAGTCGAACCAAATACTGACAAGCTATTGGTTGACAAAGTTTTTGCCTATGTACCATGTGAGTTTGACCAGACTGTTAAATTGGGTTCGGATGGAAAGAAACTAATGGAAACCTTAATGTTTGTACCACCTGAGCAAGCCAAGGACATCTGCTTAAAAACTATAGACCAAAGTTCCAGTGCGCAGTGATATGTTGAGAGATCAGTTCGTATAACTGCATCTGTATTCGGGAAGGTGACGAGTAGGCGAAAGACAGTTGAACCAAATTCGATTGTAAGAGAACTATCACTGAGAAAACTAAATGCCACAGTTCTCGTATGCCAGTTTCTCTACAATGAAGCATTGAGAATCAGTCCAATGCTGTAGAAAAATACAAAAACTTGGGAAAAAAAACAATTTGGAAGTGAAAAGCTGTGGTCTAGTATAGTGGTAAGTCCAAGATGGCCATGGCTGGGCTGCATGTAGTCCTGATGGTATTGTTGTGGAAGATGGTACGGTAGTTGGATGTGTGGAGATAAACGCCTGTATTCTAAAAGCGCACTCACACTCACACTTGAGTGGCATTCCAGTGAGGAGCACTCAAGTGGGGTTGAAGGGTAAGTTTGAGTGGAGGGAGAGTGCATTGTTGTACTCATTGATCGAACACTCACACTCGAAAAATGTTGCTTGATTTGTATTCACCAAGCGCACTCAACTGTCACTTACTGGAGTTGCACTCATTAATGAGTACGGAGGAAAGACGTATTTTCGACACATTACACATAAAGTACAGACGTGCAAGATGTCCCAACCTTGGCGGTATTTTTCAGAATTGGAGAAGTCAATCATCAGAGAATTAGTTGCTAAGCACAAGGATATCCTTGAGAGTAAAAAGAAAGATTACAAAATGATTAAACAAAAAAATAGCGCTTGGGAAACGTTAACAGAAGAGTTTAATTCTCAGGCGGGTGTTTATAAACAAATAAAGAAAAGAAATATATCAAGTCTCGAGCTAAGAAATCTATCGCCAAAGAAAAGAGAGAAGTGAAACTAACTGGTGGTGGTACGGCCTCATCGGATAGACACGAAGGAGCAGAAGCCATTGTTTTAATAATTCCAGATCAAGGCTGGAATTACACTATACCGGATTGATTTTCATACCGGATTGATTTTCATACCGGATTGATTTTCACTCCGAAGTAAAAAACAAGGCTATTTACACTACAGTAGATGTCTTGATTTTTCACGGAATAACCTATATACATCGACGTTAAAATCTCAGTAAAATACTGTTTTTCGCTTCTGGATAAACACCATCGCTACGTTGTCATATTTTCCACACATATAAACGGGAGAAAACCGGAGTCGTTTTTATAATATACTCGTTTGCAGCTTTCGTTGTGGGCACAAAGTCTTAGAATACGTACACACAAAAATCGTTATAAATATATCGAAATAAGGGGCGGACCATTTGACTTTATAGGGTGGGGGTTGAAAGATTTAGAAAAAAAATTTTCCTGCAACCCAAGGAGAAAGAAAAGAAAATCATGCAGCATACAATACCATGCAAAAGAGGACGCTCAAAAAAAATTCCTACATGTAAATCTACTGATGCGCTTCAGTATTGTGACCACAGGCTTGGCAAGATTTTGCATTTTTGAGCAGGCACATTTGCTTAAAATAATACATGGGGTGAACAGTGGACAACATCACAGCGATTCTGCTGCCTTTGGAGCCTCTAAGTTACTCTAACCAGCGATAGCTAGTGGCGTTCCCTGGCAAAATTGTTGCCACCCCCTCCCCCCCCCCGTGACAAAATTTGGCCTTAAGATATGTACAAATTTCTAAGATATTTATACATATCTAATATGCATGGTAGAAAAAGTATTTTTGGATGGTTGAGTCTGTGTGCGTTTTTTGATAACATATAGCTACAAACTATTAAAGCTCCAAAGGATGCAACCCGATCCCAAACAGACTATCTGTATGAACGATTGAAAAACTACAGAGCTATATTTGGTGGAACATTGTTGTTTCGGAGGGCAGTTAAACAGCGCATTATTGAAAATCTTGCTTTATTACGTATCAATCAAAGCTCATTTTGTGATTTACCCTTGTTTAAAATAAGGAACAGTACCGATAAGTGTTCCTTAGGCTTAGTACAGCAAATTTGTTGGACGAATCCATGGCTGAAAACGCAGGAAATAGCGTTTCTGAGGTTCCAATTTTTATATTTTCCCGGGGGAGCATGCCCCCGAACCCCTCAAGGTGATTCATATACTGTACCTCCACCATTTTCGAGTACTCCACTCTATCCCTGCATGTTTTAGGTTTTGGTGCAGTTATACATTTTTTTGTAAGTAAACCTGCACACTTTAATGTGGAGAACAATTAAGACATAGCCATATAAAATAAAGCACAGTGAAAATTCCTTGGCCCCTCTTGGGATTTTTTCGGCCTTCTTTAACTGAAAAACCCGGCTAGATCCCTGACGATAGCGTATAAAAGCCTTAAGTTGCTGCATATAAGCCGTTATTGTGACAGACAAAAAATATCCTGTCGCGAAATAATTGGGAAAAAATATATCTTGCGCAGCACTTTTACAGGAAAAAAACTGTCTGTCTTGTTTGCCTGGGTGGAAAATTTTTTTTGCACGGTCTGAATCTTCCAACCCCCAACCCCCTCAAAAGCAAGGGTGGGTAGTAGCGAAGTAGTTGTAGTTCGCTACTGTAGCGAACTACAATTTTCAAGGAGCCAGTAGTTTTTGACTACTTTTTTAAAACAGTAGCTGTAGTAATAGCGAACTACATTTTGCCTAAAAGTAGCCAAGTTGTTGACTACTTTTCAAACAGCTACTTGATAGAATAGCATAATATTGAGACACGGTTGCAACTGGCAACTTGATAGAATAGCATGATATTCAGACACGGTTTGCTTAAAATCAATATTCAATAGTCAATTTGCACTCCTGAATACTGTAGTGCTTACAAGTAAGTTGATTTGTTATAGGTTACATTACAGTCTGAGTTAGTACTTAAGCCTAGTTCTCATTCATCGCAAACCGTTGGCGATGGGAGCTTTGCGACGTCGGCGACCGCTTGCCATTTATGAGAACACATCAAAAATTATATCGCCGACTGTCCGTAATCGTCGCCGACCATCGGCGATGACATCGCAGGAAACAAAAAAGTTTGTTTCTTGCGACCATCGCCGACTGCCACCTGCTTAAAAAATCTATGAGAAATGAGTAAAAGTTGTTTTTTCCTCAACAAGCAAGGAAATAATCAACTGAAGTTTGACAGAAATCATGAACTTTACGTTGAATGGGCCCATTTTGTGGGAAATTTAGGAAATTTCGAAACACATCGGCTGTCATCTGCGACGATCACCGATGTATGAGAACTTTCGTGCATTCGCGCTCGGCGAGTATCGGCGATAAGCGTCGCCGATCGTCGGTGACAGATTGCGATGAATGAGAACTAGGCTTTAGTAGATGCTCCAAATACAGTAAAACTAAAAAAATATTACGTAGCGAAAATAGCGAAATAGTTCGCTACATTTTTTAGTGCAGTAGCTGTAGTGAGTAGCGAACTACCTTTGTTCAAAAGTAGCAGTAGTTGTAGCTGACTATGTACATATTTTTGAAGTACAATAGCAGTATAGTTAAAGCGAACTACAAAAATTGTGTAGCCAACCCACCCTTGCTCAAAAGTCAAATGGTCTGCCCCTAAGCAGCAAGAAACAAGCCATTAAAGTCGACACAATGTCAATGGCATCTGAATTTGGCTTGTCCGCAAGCAGTTTTCGCTTGTTTTCCCGCGTTTATTCCCATTTCATACAATGTAAATTTCAGGAAGTTAATTTAACTCCAGTGGTATTATTTTCAACCTAATTTTACTCCACATTTGGAGTTAATTGAGGTACAGTATAACTCCACCGGAGTTAAATTAACTCCCCGAAATTAACAGACTGAGTGTAGGATACAAGGACCTGTCGGATTGTGATTTATGAATAAGGTCTATAAATTCCCCCCAAAAAGTCTGATCACAGGTTATGCTCAGCCCGTTTAGGCGAGTGAGCTTGGGTAATTGCACTTGTATGGAAAATTCGCAGCTGGGTCACCTGAGATTTTGGGTCAGTCGAGGCGGGATCTCACTTAGGCGGGCCAGCTTGGTTCACATAGCAATGCAAAGTGAAATTTAGTAATAGGAAATACTAATTATGGGTTATTCCAGAAAACATCCATACCTCTCTCCCCCCCCCCCACAGAGGGAATTGGAAGTTAACCCTACCCCCTTTGGATGTCCTAATGCTTTTGCTATTATCAGATACAAATTTTTGTCCCCTCCCCCTCTGGATGGCAGAAATTTCCTCTGTGGGGAGAGTGGATTTTTTCTGGAATGACCCAATGGCGGAATCTCATCTAAACCCATGCTGGCTCGCCCCATATAAAAACAGTATAGGTACCCCACCTGAAATTTGATGTTCAGTCGAGGGGGTTGAATGCACCAGATATGTGCAGTAAAAATGACCTTACGTTTTCCTCACGAAGTGAGACCTCTGTATAGTCAGTACTCTAGCTGTGCTTAGGGCTTTCCCATTCTATCCCCTATTCAATATATTGTTGTTAACTCGTTTATATTTTCACTTCCCAGAACTCAGAAGTGAAGATCCAAAGATGACGGTAAGCACTAAGCAGTCACAAGAGCTTTTGTCTCTGGTCAGACTGGTTGTAGTATATATATTATATAATCAGAGGCTATATGTATATTCTGAATTGTGTTGTGTGGACGAAAATAATGGGGTGTAACCCATATAGTTTGTTAAGAAATTAGAAAAACAATATCAGACAGTCATTACCAATCTTATTACTCGCTGGGGCACCTGTGCCCAGGCGAGTATAGGTTTCAGCAAACATTTTTGGTGGATGTCAGATCGTCGTTGAAATAGAATATTAATGAGCTGCCAATTTTTACCCAAATTACCCATAAATAACCCTAAGCTTTGAGAAAAATTCAAGAATTTTACTTAATAATTAAGCCAAAGCTGCTGTTTATTTTACCCAGTATGAATATGTTTACGTTCTTTTAAAACTGCTTTTTTACTGCATTGAGGATTCAACAACAAGAATAATGAATTCGGAAATGTATTAATGGCAAATAAATCCTGTTAAGCGGTCAAAATGACATCGTATAGCCCGACAAAGACAGAAATACAAAGTCAAAGACAGCGATGCACAGGAACAATTGTTTGAAATATAGACTCAATATTATAATAAGGAAGCAGTCATTATCAATACCGGGGGTGGGCCGGAAGATATTTGGAGGGGCCACCAAAAATGTATTAACCACTTAGGGGGGCTACCAAAAATATCAAAGAAAGTAGGTGGGGGGGGGGATGGGGGTGGCACTAAAAATAATGTACAATAATCATAAAACATCAGCAATTACTCCCTGTAATATAAATGCCAATGCTATGTAAGTATAGGTAATCACACAGGAAGGAATTCCTCATGTAAAAAGAGTAAAAGTCAACGCTTTGCCGAAAGTCGTGGGTTTTCTCCGAGTACTCCGGTTTCCTCCAACACTGGGAAAGTTGACAGGGTGGGTTAGGTAAAACTAAAAGGGCAGACAGTAATTGGGCCCACAGTAACTTACAAGCTGTGCTATTTATAGTACGCTACATTCCTCCTGTTCGCCAGCAGTTGTTCGGTATGCTTGGTTAAAAACTTCGCTTTGAAAGCTTCAAGATGAACTATTGTCGGATCAAAATACTATCAAAATGAAGAGAAAAGTGAGACAAATCTATCGGTATACGGACGAAAAAGAGAAAACTTAACCAACGTCAACGATACAAAAGTTATCAAGGATCAAACGTACGGAATTTTTAATTAGTTAAATAATAATTTTGAGCGATTTGTCAACAAATATACAATTTCGCTTGACTTTCAAACTTCAAAGGCCATAAATGGCATCCGCGTAAGTCAATTTCTTACGCTGATTCGAACAATTGTATTTTTGCCCTTAGTGTTGGGGCACTTGGGTGCATAAAACCAGAGATAGCGGTCCTGAGAGTCCGAGATTAATTAATTTTCCTGCAAAAACACGGACACCGCGATTTTGTCCTTGGCACGGACACCGCAATTTTGCAACAGGGGACAGGTCACAATTTATAACTCCTCAATTGCCGGATTGGCCATATGATTGTAGTACCATCTATTAACAATCGAGCGTCTTGTTTCATATTAAAATGATGTCTCGTGATTGTTTTCACTGTTGGTTACGTAAATATAGTCTAACTGTATTCACTACGTATCAAATTGAATTCGAAATCGAAAATATCGAGGGAATCAACATACCTTAATTCACTGGGAGACAAATAAAGTCCTTTCCGCCTTTCCCCAGAAACTTGAACTATATTTTACGCACTTTCGATCCACACGACACTGATACAAAATTGTGTTCGAAACATATATTAAACTGGGTGTTTGGAAACCCAGGAACTACAGGAATTACAGGAACATGGACAGGAATTACAGGATCTACAGGAACTACAGGATTTTCAGGAACTGCATAAATCATAATATTTCTTTAATTATTCGTTAATTTTTGCGGGAAATGAGCAATTTTCCCGCTAAAACCACTAATAATTATAAGTTATAACATAAATATAGCACGTAGAAGTGCCACAGTGTATTGCCACACTGCTTTCGTAATGTTTGATAAACGATACCCCTGTATTTATTTCTAAAATGACGTTGCCTTTTATTACAGCATGTCGGGGATTGCTTGACCCAAAACGAAAAAGTCACGTTGTAGATTGTAATGTTTTATTTATACGAAAAACCCCAAAATCTCTCGCTATATTCGCTCTCATTGCCTCTCAAAATCGCCTTGTTTACATGTTCACTGTAAAGTGTTTTCCCGGAATCTTACCGGAAGTGATTCGCACGTGAACTGTTGGTGATCTTTAAAATTAGTTATTAAGCAAATATAAACTTTAACTAAAGCTTATAAACTATTTCCGTTCTCAACACATCTAGTGATAGTGTGATAGAGTTCAGATGAAGGTATTGAATTTCTTATTAAGACATCTGGTCACTGTTGTTTACCGTCTTATTATTTATAAAATTATAAAAGTTATCGAATAAATACAACACAATTTACATATTTCATACTAAGCCAACAAGATGGGATAGCCTTCAACCACTTATACCTTTCGCTTTCCATCTTGAACAAACGTTTATTACGACAGCAGTGTGGAAATCAGTGGCGGCGCCAGGCCTCCAAATTTGGGGGGGCATTTGAGGGGCAAACTCAAATTTTGGGGGGGCAAGATAGAATTTTTAAAAAGGTCGCCCCCCCCAGGAGGTTCACCCCCCC